ACTTTTTTAGTCAGTTTGATGCAATTTAAACAATTGCGGGCCTTGCCAATGCACTTAATTTAGACGTTGAAGTGGAAGAAATTGCTGAATTAGTGGATTATGCCAATGGAGAGATAACAAATGACGATTTAATAGAGTTAGAAGCGATGCAGTATTTGGAAGAGGAAGAAGACTAAAGAACTGAAGAAGTGAAAAAGAAATTTACAGTACATCGGTTAGCTGGTGTGTTCTCCAAAATTAATGCAGCTATGTTGGAACTTGAGGTTATGAATCCAAATACTGAACGTTTTAACATAAAGTTCTCTATAGCACTTCAAAAGTGAACTTTTGAAGTGCTATAGAGAACTTAAAGTTCACTAACAAAACTTCAAAAGTTCACTTTTGAAGTGCTATAGAGAAATTTATCAAGAAAAAAAAGATGATTACAACGCAAACCACAGTTACGAGTTTCTTTTCGACCGTTACATCCAAGCCCTCCGCCCTTGAAGGTACAACTTCTATTTCATAGTCGTCATCTCCCTTACCTGGGAAAAAGACCTCTACAGCTCCAGATAACCAAATAAACAAATGATAATATGTACATACGCATGTCTTTTTATGAATAAATTTGAAGTTTGTTGCATAATTTTTATAATTTTACAAAGATCCTATATTCCCAGCGCAAGCTCCTCGCTTATCGACCAATTTGCTTAACGACATAGTTGTCGGAATGGAACTCGGTCGTAAAGTGAGGAGTGTCTGTAATGTATTTTATTAAGTACATTGAAAGATAAAACACTAACAATAAGTAGTTATTCTGTGTACAAACGTAATTTCTAGGTTAGTTTTCAATTAACAAACATTTGGACTTACAACAAAACCTTGGAAACCTAACCTGTTTGTAAGGAGAAAGGCACCTGTATTTGCTATTTATACATCTTAACATTATTTCTTAGCTTCATAAAAATTCAGTTTAAAATTGTATTTAGAGTTCAATATGGATTATAATATGGTTTATTGTTTAGGTGAATGTCGTATCAGTTAGTTTAGTTATTTTGTATATTATATCTTTTGTTTTATAAATATTTTAGTCAGTTATAACACAATATTTTGCTTAAATTTATAATGTTATTATCTGTATAATTATAATGAAAACTTGTATAATTTACAAATAATACAAGGTACAAACTTTCTAATTATACTTACAATTATAGAACTTTTCTGTTTATGACCTGATCTTGTTAACAGTGGTCTTGTAAATGGTGAGCAAGAAACAATCTAAACCAAATTAAATAAATTATCATTGATTTATAATATAAAATATAAAGTGAAATAGTTAAACAAATGCACTATAAGTAATTGTAAAAGTCTTACTGTCCTTTTTAATTCTAATATTATTTTTAATTGTCTACTTGGACTTAATTTATTAATAGGACATAAGCTGGTGTTTAAAGATTGACACAGCGATGAGATTTAGTTTAGGAAAGAACAAAATTTCTTTATTATATCTCCTGTAGTAATAGTTATTAACTATTACTACAAAAGATATAATAAAGAAAGTGGGGTTTGCTTGCAAAACGTCCGCGGACGAAGTTGCGGGTAACAGCTAATATATATATATTCACTAAAGAACGTTTTGTTAAATTTCCTGTCAATAGATGGCACTAAGTGTACGTTAAATTAAGTACATATAGAAACAGGCTAAACACGAAATTTTCTTTTAAACTTATATCCTTCATAAGCTTCAAATGAGATAATTTAAATTTAAATAGTAGCTAGGGGCTATTTTAATTTCGCTTTTGGCATACCATGACAGAAACAGTTTTCCACTTTTATATACTGTAGATAATCACTTAAGAACGTTTTGTTAAATTTCCTGTCAATGGATGGAACTAAGTGTACTTTAGATTAAGTAGCTGTATAAATAGGCTAAACACGAAATATGTTACTGTGGGCGCTGGTGGCCGAGCGGTCTGATCTGTTGGCTGCCCAGCTTCAGTACTGGTTCGCGCCATCAGTTGCTCACATTTTTTTATTTTTATTTCAAAATATCATTTATTTCGGCAGTTACGTTCACATACATCTTACTTACATAATGTCGAACATCTCATTCAAAAATAGCTATTGGGTTTCGGTAAATCAATTGATTTATATCGTTCCCGTTTTAACGTAGCGACNCAATGTCTGTTTCACTACTCGAATCGTCTTTAAGCTTCAGATTTAAATGCTAACCAAGTTAAAATATGATTAATTATACTTAGACCCATGTCAGAAAAATTATTAACAAAATAATTGCAATTTGATATGCGATAGAACTGTTCGAATGCATACAAGTACAAATTGAGAATGAAGCTCTGTGGGGATTCCCTATTATCGCCAGTCCTATCAACTTCTGTCTTAGAGCACAACTATGAGTACTTGGCTTCAGGGCGCCGCCGGATGCTTCAACCTGCCAACAGACGTTTCGCATTGCATCTTAATTCTGATAAATGCCAATAGAGGCGCTTTAACGCTATAATATAAATAAGAATATAATAATTGCGCGCCAGTCAGAATTTTTTTCTCCATGCGAAGACATTTCTTATGCTATAAATAGGGTGGGTATTATGACAATGACTTTGAATATTACGTAACCGATCGCTCGATTTGCCGCCCCCTGGACGTGCCGCCCGCGTGCGGTGCACGCCTTGCACGCCTGCTTACGGCGGGCCTGCCTCTTCCCTGTCTGTAGATCTGCCCATTAAAAGCGAAACAAGATTCACGGCAGACCAAACTAGTCAAACTCTCTACTTCTTCAGTATAACTAAGCAACTCCGAGTTCTTGCTGTATAAGTAATCCAATAGTGCCTCCTCGCATGATTCTATCTTTACTGAAGGATACATGTTCTCATAGTCGAAAACAGTTTTAACTTCATCTTCCATTAGGCTGTGTACACACTAGGCATTTTTAAACGCGCGTTTTAAAGAACCAAGAGTTCTGCATAGGCATACATACTCAAACGCGCGCTTTTGGTTAAGCGCGCGTTGATAGATTTTTGTTAAAACGCGCGTTTTGCGGGCGTCAGCCCAGAGCTTTGATATATATGTGCTGCCATGTTGTTGTACTGTACATTCGATCGCGCGCTTTCGGGTAGAGTGGACGTACGTTGGCAGAAATGGAGAACGATCATTTCGATACTGATCTATTTATTGATGAAATCTAAAAGAGACCAACCATCGTCAAATGATTTTATAGATATTTTAAAAGAATTAAAAAACTTGGGTTTTGGATACAACGTCGCAAACATTCCATGCGTCAGTCTATCTCGTAATATTGGGTGCACCCAAAATTCTCTTTGCCTCTGCCATCGTCTTTTATAGCGACGATGGAGGAGGCGCACACGAGCAATTACTTTCACGTCCATTTCCAAACTGAGCCAGTGCGTATGCTCCACTAAACGGTCGTGGAACGCCGAGCTAACGCGCGTTTAAAAACGCCTAGTGTGTACTGTACATAGCCTTAATGTAACATTTTGCAGATCTTTGACCACTTTAATAGGATCACGCGCAACTAGAGTATCCGTGTGCTGCTGGGAGGATAAATATTCATGCAATTTCTTTTCCAATACAAACGTGGGACCCTTACATTTCTCTACAACCGGTCTTATTTCTTTATCGGTTTTATGTACCTTAGCGAAAGCAAACAACCTAGGTGTTCCAGGTTCCAGATTCTAGGTTCCTGCATTTTTTGAGAAAAGGCAAAAGAAAGCTAGCCCAACAATGCCCCTTTCAATTTCCCAATGAAGGTTTCCCAATTCATAGCATCCGCTGGAACAACAAGAATCAAGAAAAACCTTATTGCTTTCCACGTATGGGACAAAGTAGAAATACCGGCAAGGATCAAGGAGCTTCTAAAAAAAGGCCCAAATTTTGTTCCAGCGGAACCATTTATTTATAAAATCGCTTCTCAAACTTTCAAGTTTTCTACAAAATCCTCTCTGAAATACGTTTCTCGCATAAATTTCTTAAAGACGTATCGTTTCGATTTTCGAATTTCTTCCTGAAATTACATTCGATCAATTCATATTGATTCGCCATCTAGTGAAGATTTGTGGCATTTCTATTAATATTAAAAAATTAGTAGACTGAGTTTCGAATTCGGGTTAAAAACAAATCACACAGATTTACTCTATCCACAAAAAATAATGTTACCGTTGTCTCTACTGCTTTGTTTCTGTTCATTAATCATACTTAAATAATAGAAAGGTATTGATCAAACGACATACCATTTAGTTACCTTCCATCATAACAGATGGCGTTTTAAAACGTTCGTTGAACCATCGCAGCAGTCGCTATATTGAGTCTTTGGAGGTGTAACGTGTTTCTTGAGAAAAATTGTTTGTTTCTTCGATCTCGATTGGATTTCTTGTTTTATATATATATGTACTGTAAAAATGGCTTGGTGTTCAGCGGTGAATTGTAACAATTCGTCAGACAAAGGTGTAAGATTATTTCGTTTTCCCGCTGATGAATCCAGGAGAGCTAAATGGTATCAATATTGCAGAAGAGAAAAATGGAAACCAACAGCGAATTCCAGGCTATGTGAGGTTGTGGATAAAATAATGTCGAAAATATAAATTTACGAAGTGTTAATTTAAAATAACTTTTGTAATGTAATGTAACTAAATCTTTTAGATACATTTTGAGGAGTCACAATTCGAACTTAAAAGAATGGATGGAAGAAAATTATTGAAATGGAATGCTGTTCCGACCCTTTTTGATGCTCCAAATCCCTAATCCCATCTGCAGTTAAGAAGAATAGCACCAAGAAAAAGAGAACCACCTCCAAATGAGTGCACCTTTGGTAAGATTCAGTTCTACTATTGACAGTTTTGTAGGAGTTATAAAACTAACTCCTACAAAACTGTCAATAGTAGAACTGAATATACAAACACATACATGTATGTTCATATATTCAGTTCTACTATTGATCACTTGTAAAATTGTCTGTAGTTTTGCTTGAACGATTAAATTAAATTTACAGCTTCATCGTCTGTGGATTGTGATGAAGCAGAAGAGTCTGTAACTGTAGATACAAATGATCATCGTAATGAAAAAACTGTAAATACAAATGATGATCATAATGAAAAACTTGCTGCAGAAAATAGAAAGTTGAAAAGAGAGGTAATAATAATGTTATTACATTCAACTTTGTCATGAAGGATCTATGCATAGAAAATAAATTAAGTTAGGCTTTTTTTTTCATTATGATATTTTGTGAAATTGTAAAGGAAATGCCAAAAACAACTAGGTTTTGATAATGTGAAAATTATTTTACATGTACTTTTCAGATAAGAAGACTAATGGAGAAGCAAGAGGCAATGGAGAGAAACCTTAGCAGACTTTTGAAGCCTGACCAAATGCAGTATCTGCAGAGAGTGACCAAGAGTAATCCCTATCCATGGACTATCGAGACCGTCAGGCATGCGTTACATTTAAAATGTGTTGTGGGTAAGAGAGGTTATGAATACCTCAGACAAAATGAGTATCCTTTGCCTTCATTGAGGACAATTAGGAGAAGAATTGAATCTTAAAGATTTGCTTCTGCATTCAATATGATATAATTGAATGGATGGGTATAAAATTCAGTCTGCAGATTTCACTAGTAAATTGTGTGTCCTTTCATTGAATGGAATGCAGATCAGACTTCACTTTGAATATGACAAAGGTTGGAGAGATATGTTGGATTAATGAGCAAAGGATTCAAAAATAATTTGGTGAAAGTAATCTTGCCACCCATGCTTTGGGTTTTGTTGTGTGGTGACTTCACTCGAAGCAGGTGGTGGCCTACACACATTCAAGATCCACATTTACTGTGGTGTTTTGTGAAGAGTTTTCATGATTATGGCCTTGTTGCAAAGTGTTTCAAGTAATACGGGCTCTAACAACACCAGTATGTGGGATGCTGTTGGTGTGCATTCAACACGCAATCAGGTGAACTGTAAAATTTTGCATCCTAGTATGCAAAGTGAAAAAAATATATTTTGTCATAGATGTTTGTCACTTACTAAAAATATTAGAAACTGCTTGCTGTCACAAGATATTAATCTTTCAGAGGAAACTAAGAGAAGCCCACCAGTGGCCAACTGGTCTTTGTACCCTGAACACTTGGGAGTTCAGTTGTGGTTTGCACCTCGCTTGGACGGGCTGGCCATGTGAAGTTTTCCGGGTTTTCTCCACGTCTGTAACACTTAAATAGGAGCCAGTTTTCCTTAAAAAGACCCCAGAAGGCATCCTCCCTAGGCAGATCACCCAAGTGTTGCATTGCCATAATCTAACAAACAAACATGGGTTAAATGGGATAAAATGGGCTACTTTCAAACACAGTTTTTCTGAACTGTGTAGCGAGTGTGAATGAGCAGCAAGAAAAAGAGGGACCAATGATAGCTCCCTCCCTATCAGTGACAGTAGTAAACCCAAATTTCTTTGAGAAAATGCAAGTTCCAGTGGCTAAAAGTTTATTTAATCATAACATTTCTTCTGCCTTAAAATTTTGTGTGCATCATCTGGAATTATTCCCAGAGATGTATTAACCACAAGCTGGTTTATAGATCAAATCAACCAGTGGTATGACATTATGTTGGTGCAAAATGCATTTGCGATATAAGTCAACCAGAGAAAATAGCTCATTTGAAGTATGTGTTACATTGGGTTTCCTCTAAGTTTTAATGGAAAAAATAATTGGAAGTCAATACAAACAGGAGTGCAACCTATTTTAAATTATATTTTTAGTTATTATATTTGGTAAATTTTAAATTTGTGAGTAAAACTTCCATTAACAATAATGTTTGTCTTAAATTGATGATAACATTACTGAAAATTGATGGAAACACTGATGATGAATTTGTTTCTCTGTAAAATCTAGCCATGTACTATAATGTCTAAAATCTTTAGTAAAAAAGATGAAAAACTATATCTGGTAAATAGAATATATTTTTGTACTTTAATCTGTTAATTTTCACTAAAGAAATTTCAGATTTTGAATTTCTAAATAAAATTTATCCTTGTACTGCAACGGTTATCATTCACTTTTTCAGTTTAGAAATAGAATGAAGTATTTTTGTAAGTTTTAACCAAAGAAGTATGAGTTATGGTTTAATTAATTAATTTTATTTATTTAAGCATACTGGTACAATGATGCAGGGAGAAACATACAAAAATCATACAAGATTACACAACATATCCAGTAATACAAAACAAATATATGCAACAACATTTAACTAAAATAATAGTAAAACAAAAAGTTTATTCTAAACTTCCAAAAACTATCCAAATAAAATAATTACCAGAAAACTAGGCTATATTTACTTAGAGAATAAAAAATAATCAATTTAGTCTCTTATTCACAAATCAGATAGTCTCCCAAATATCCAAAGTTAACTGCTGGTTAAAATAACAAGCAAACCACACCTCCTAGGGTGCAATTAACATAAAATTACTAACACTATAAACCTAAAAATGAAAAAAACCACATTACCATAAAGCCAACAATCTCTTAACATGAGATAAACAATTTAACCTTTTTAATAAAAATAAATATCTTGAAAATTGAATCAGTATCAGAAATTACTTTTCTAAAATTATTATATGAAAAACAAGTAACACAAAATATGTAATTTTGACAAATAGGTACAAACTGCAATCCTGATATGCACCCAATGGTGAATCAACCCTACCACTCATCAAATGTCCCTTCTGTAATTACATAAAAAACTCAATGAATTACACCTAATTTGCCCTAATACTGCCATAACATTACAAGAAAGATTATTATTATAAATAAAACAGTCAAAAAAAGATTCAAATTTTTAAACCACTAGCAATAGGTACTGTACTTAATAATATGCTGTTATTCAGCATCAAAATATGTACAATTATCAAAATTATTTAACTTCAGTAAATAAATTCCATTAAACATTTTAAAACAAATTTTCAAAATCAACCCCATTCCTTGTACTATTTACAAGGAATGGGATTGTACATACATACTTCATCCAGGGTAACTATCTGTTTCAAAACAAATCTTGCTAAGATGTTTTTCTCCCAGGCTCATCATTCTAAAAACCCAATTAATTCATGTTTAGGATCATACAAGACTATAGAATCAGTGCACACTCCATAAACTAAATATCCAGGAGTACATCTTGGAGCCCACACAATCTCTTAACAAACTTTGGAGGCATAGAGAAGAGAGGAGCCTAAAACTGCGTTAAATAAATTTAAAAATAGTTTAATTAATTAATAGTGTGTGTAATGAATTAAAAGTTAATAAATAATGGTTTATTAATGATTATATACAGAGGAACCAGATTTATTAGAATTGTATGATATAAATTTTCATCATTAAGGCAACATTTCTTCATTAATTTATGATTTTTTTTTGTCCCAAGGTGACATTTTATTTTTATATTCCTTTGGAATATAAAAAAAGTAAAGTTAAACAAATATAGAGATAACAAAACAGGAAGATTTCATCAGACATTTTATTGTTTTATAATATACTCAACTTTCTTATTCCATATTAGTACATTAAGAAAAACAAGATCATCATACATTTTAGAAGCTTTTTTTAACAAATGTTTTTAGGACATTAAACATTTCTTTTTCAGATTTAAATAAATAGATTTATCACAAGAACCACATATTATCAAAAGAAATATTCATTAATCAATTATTTTTCAAAAATATCTTACAAGTTAGTTATGTTAATTATTTGTGAAGATTTCTGCTATGTAAGATTTGTAATATAATAATAAATGATTACTTGGGTTAATGTCCAGGGTCGTAGACCATCATGGCGGCTCTTCCTATTTTAGCCTCGAAACCGGACGGCTTTGGAGACGACGTGTCACGTGACGACGCGAGCGAACGGCGGCGGCTGCTGCGCCGCGGCAGCGCCGGCGCTGATTCCAGCAAACAAAAGCAAACAGTGGGGACGCACGTTCTAACCTAACCTAANTGTTGGTTATTTAATATTTTGTTTTAATTGTACCTTATTTAATTTTGAATTTGAATTTTGTATTCCATTGATGGAATTTTAATTCAAATGTATTCTAAACCTGAAGATGGCCTGTGAATCAGGCTGAAAACGTTTGTTTGTTTCAAATAAATTATATTTCTCGGCAAGAATAAGGTGTTAAGTATATGTATATGTATAGTGATTTGCTGAGTACTTTATGATATTAAATACGAAAACGTTGTTTTCACTCTTCGCATCGGCCAATGTTTGTTTTCTAACGATTAACAAAGAAACAAGAGCCTCGACAGCCGATCGGTGTCGGTTTCATTCGTCTCGATCCTGAAAAAAGCAAAAATATTCAGTTTCCAACGCGTTACAAAATTGAAATGCCGAAAACAATGAACGACGTTCAATGGAAAAAGGAGCAAAATGAAGTGGATAGCAGAGAGTTGTTTCGATCCACCGACCTCTGGGTTATGGGCCCAGCACGCTTCCACTGCGCCCCTCTGCTACGTGTAGTTCGTCTCTATCAAAGTTTAATATTAACGCTATTTACACACAAGCTATCGTGCCAAATTTTGTTTCATAATTATATTATTCTTAGATATTAAACGAAATTGAAGCCTACATACATATCTATTAAACTATTTTGCCTTTTATTGTCATTTATTGTTCAAGGAGTCACCAAACCTACAGATTTATAAAAGGTTTTGGAATTAATTCTGAAACGATCTCCACACTGTACTTTGTCTTCTTATATATACACTAGTACCCTACTAAAACGCAATCAAAAACGCAAAAACCGCATTTTTTGTTATTTTAATATTATGCAAAAAACTGAATTTATTGTCACTTTAAATAATAGCTCAGGGCGTCCCAAGTGGCCATTCTAGGCATACCGTTAAGGATGTAAGGACATGCGATCAATGGCTTATATTATTAGATAACAGCTGGAAAAGTGAAAGTAACAAAAACTATTTCATATTGAAAAACGTTTTTCTAAATGTGCTAGTTTTTTATTCGTGCTTTTTACTAAATCTGTTAGGTGTTAGTTGATTATGTTAAACAAATACTTGCTGTTTCGATTCTTTCTTACTGCTACACCATGGAATTTCAGGTAACTAATAATAGGGCGTCTTCTTTAATGAATATTGGATAATAATAAAGTTTAATCTACGCATATATGTATACAATGTTATTCAAAATACCAAGTCATTTATTGCACACAGGTATATGATACTTCTTTTCTTACGAGTACGTATCGATGTTTTTTCCCCCCTATAATGAGGGAGAAGTCGAATAAATAAAGATAGACTATTATTGTTATGAAATAATTAACGTAACTAAAATAATTTTTTTTCTCGTCATTCCTACCAATTCTATATATATAATTTATTTATAAACAACATAATGAACGTGATCACGTTCGATAAAACTTTTTAACAGCAATATCATCCGCAAATCACGCTTACTCTAACGTAACTTTGTAACGATTTGAACAAAACAAACTTTAGATATAGGAATAAGAATATGCATCTTTTTCTTACTTTATATGTTATTTGAAGAATTATTTAAGCGATGGAATCGTTTCGTAAAAAGATGTTTTTTTTAAAATCATTTTTAGTGACTTTTTGATTACTATTGCTGTACTCTGTGGTTGAGTTTAGAGGAGAGATTTCACAAATAAACAGATGCATGTGACGAATATAGAAACACTTTGCAACTATTTGCTAATTAATTTTACAGAAGTGTTCGAGGTAGAAGAAAGCAATGGACAAATTGTACGAACGGGAAGAATTGTCTAAAAAACAATCGAACAGATTACAATAATGAACTGAAAGATTTCAACTTAAATGTGCGGCATTGCAGGAAATACTACTATTTATGCAGAATTGAGAGGACAAACTTTACAATTTAACGGAATGATTTGGCCTTTGGTTTGTTGCTATGATCATTCTGTTAAATTGTGGAACTCGTCCTCTCTATTCTGCGTAATAAGTAGCATTTTCTGTCACTCCGTACGTTTAAGATGAAATCCTTCCTATGATTCTTGCAAACTGTTCGATCGTTCTGCATTTGTCCATTGCATTTTTCTACTTCGAACACTCCCCTTGAAACTAATTCACAAGTAGTTTCAAAGTATTTTTGTATTCGTGATACACAAATGTTCATTTGTGAAATCTCTTCGCTAAACTTTACCACTCTCTTACATTATATTATTTATTTTGAAAAGGTAATAAGATTTTTATGATGTTATAAATTATATCTCAACGTTAGTATTTTTATTTTATAATAAATCTACGAAAAAAATTGAAAAGATGAAGGTAAATAATATTTGTAGAATGATGATAAAGCTTTTATTTTTAAATAAACATAATGCAAATTTTATATATCAAGTAACAAATATAATTTTAATTCGGAAAATTTCATTTAAAAAAAACACAAATTACAAAACAAAAACAAATTTATTAAAATTTAAATTTGCAAAATAATTCTACTATTAACCTGGATATACAATTTTGATCACTCACGATTGATACGCTTTTGTAAATTTAACTAATTTGGCCTCAAATTAAATGTTATTTTCAAGATTGCAACTGTAAAGAAAAAGAAAATTGTAAGCAGCATTGCAAATTACACACAAGCTGCAACAGAAAAATTCCAGTGTATAAAATTGCATACCTATGCAAAATTCTTTCATCATTAGAGAGAAAAGCTTTCACCATATAGGGGGAAAAGGCATAGTTTACATTGGCGAACTATATTGCAGTAACTAAAAAAATCATTTACTAGAACAAGAGATGATTTCGTATGAACTTTTATATCGCGGTTTCGATACAACGTGATCCTTATACGTATAGGAATTATGTTATATCGAAGCCGTGTTGTATAAGTACTGCGTTATACAAGAATTAACTGTATCTTATTTAACAAATACTAACGATAATGGTAAGAAATCTGTAGACGAGTCGTTTAAATCTTTCAATCGAACGGCGACGTGTTGATTAGATGGAAGCCATCCGAATATCAAGTAAGGAGCCGGATTGTTTGTTGACTGGCGGCTAATAAATTGTTGCCATTTGATCGATCTCCCCCACACACCTTGCTTCCACCCTATTAGTTCTACTTGCAATATCGCATGCTCTATCTTTTTCTTTTGCCTGAAACTCTTGACCGTTGATCACATTTTGGAATATTTCGTCACCTATAATAAAAATAAAGCTACTGAAGTTTATTTGAATTATTGTATCCAGTACAATTTACGTTACAGTAAATTGTAAACATACGTAAGCACCGTATAAATTGATAGCGGCATTGCAATAATGCATAGAAAACACTAGACTGTCTGTATGGAGAAGAAAGGAACAGAATTTTTATTGTTACAGTCATGTTTACAAGGAAAACGCTATGAACCGCGTAGCAACGACTTATTATTATTATTTTCATTCTCCACAGATGCGATTTGCATATTAATTAATAAAGAAAGACATTTTGATCATAACATTCTTCGCAGCAATGTGTTAGTAATGGGCACTTCCGACGAATTCTTCATGCTTCCAGCTCTTTCTTATCCAACATCGAATCCAATTTTCTTAACAACTGATCTAATAGGCACAGTTTTTTAAGTGTTTTTTTTAAACACCTTAAAATATAGAATAAATGGGTACATCAACGTTATTTATACGAAATAGATTTATCATTTTCTAATCTTTCGTGTAATTATTCAATAGAGATGACTCAGTAAATAAATTTAATCACGGATGTTTGAAAATATATAAATAAGTTGCAACTTACGTCAATGTTTCATTTTGAAACGAAAAAATAGCATTTTATTCATTCCAATAGCTTTAAAATCAGTTCTTTTGTGTATATTGATTTTCGTGTTTTGTTATTCATGTTTAAGTGACAAGGTAAGTTATTATTATTATATATACTTTATAACTTAAATATTTAACATATTTATTTGTAAATTATATTAAAATTTTTTCAAAATTTCAGGTTACACTCCGTAGAGATTACAATGAAGATAATAGTAAGGATTTTTTGTTGCTTCTGATAGTTAAAATTCATTATCTGTTAATAAGTGTGAAGTAATATAAGAAATTTAAAAACATTTAATAGTAAATAGCATTTAAACTATACAACATGTAAGGATTTCTTGCAATGTTCTTGAAAATAAATATTTATATATCAAAATGTGCAGGAAGAATTACTATATAAAAATTTTATACGTTAAAATTCTATCAAAATATGTAACTTTATCTATGCTTGGGAGACCGAATCGTGTAAGAGAAATTTCAGGAGAACCGGTAAAAGGTAAGTTAGAAAGTTTATTTAACAGAAGATAAATTTTAGAAATATCTTTAATAACTTTATAAGAATTGTGCTATTATAAATAATAGCCCACATAGGTTGACAATAATCAACGATCGTTTAAAAATTAGTAAATTAAATAATGCTTAAGGCTTATTTAGATGAAATGTGCTTACAGTTTCTACCAAATCTTCGATTATTTTATCAATATGATGTTTATAGGCGAGTTTACCATCGATTATAATATCCATGTCATTAACTACACGTTGACAAAAGTTAGATTTTTCTAAAATCGGGATGGAGAAAATACATGGCTACAGTCTTGTTTAGATGAATGATGAGGTTAAAATACAAAATAAATAACTAAAAAAATATACAAAAAATATATAGTAGGGTTCTGTGCAACTGATATACTATTCTGAAGATTGATGGTAAGCCTATAATTCTTCAAAACTTTGTTGTAAAAAAAAGGTTTGAGGAATTATATTGAACGAACAGAATGCGAACGGATTGATAAACAGTTATTGAACACATCGATAGAAGAGTTAAAAAAAACTAGAAGAAAGTAAGCTAGTCAACATATTAACTCTCCTATTCCAGAAAAAATGGTGAAAGAATTACAAGACCTTATGTTAATGGATGAAGAAATAGAGATGTAATGGACTACGAGAACTTGTACTCTTCAATGATTGTAAAGAATCTAATATGATTGTAAAAAGAGCCCTAACTATGTATTAAATTTTAAGAAACGATAAGGATAGATTAGAAACAGAAGAAATAGCAAGGATATACTGGGTACCACATGAAAACATGCTGTTGGGAATAGACAACGATTTTATCGGTGTGACCAGAAGGAACTTGAGAATTAGACTTATAAAAAATCAATATAACGTAAGAACGAATTCAATAGCACGGTACTATCCGGGATGGCGGCTCGGTGATAAAATGGAAAGAGGCAAGCATCGTTAAGTCAATACACTCCCCAACATTAGCACAGAACGCTGAGAAACTTGAAATATATAAAAGCAGATTGAAAGATAAGTGCATTAATACAAGAGATGCGGACAGATTAGCAACAGCATAGAAATACATTGTACAAAACAAGGTTAGAAGTTCTAATTACCTCATTTTCTACTATATATTTTTGTATACTTTTTGAGTTATTTATTTTGTATTTTAATATTATTCATTATTTATGTCAATTTTTTAGTTATTTTTATTTTGTATTCAAGTATTTCAACGTTGTTCTTTCTTCTATTCTATTTTGAACGATACTTAATTTGCATTTTTAAATATTTTGGCAAATAGCGTATTTTAAACTTACTTCATTAAATTTAAAATTTAAACTTTAAAAAAGAATATTCGCATAGTGTCATTTCTATAACAAATAATGGAGTTTAAGTTACTATGATTTGACCCTTGAACCTTAATCTGTTTGAAAAACACTTAACACACATCAGCTTACACTTTTGGAATCTGAGGTCAAATACGGAAGTGCAACTAAAATTTTTCATAGAGATAGTTGCTCTTACGTAGTGTTCCCGATGGTGGGGGATGGTGGGGCCATCCCACACTTTCCTGGTAGACATAAACGAACCGATTGTTGGGTATGATTTAAGAGTTATTTTATTGGTCATAGGGCAGAAAACCTAAAATATAAAAAACACTAAGCACACCTCTGACCGCTTTGAGAAATCTTTTCCAGAAGATATGGAGGTTTCTGCATTGATCCAAGATCCATTTGTACCTACTTATATTAAAAAAAGTTAAATAAAGTTCTAAAATAAATTGTTTAGAAACGGTTTCAGGACTTGGGTTGAATGGAAAGAAATGTTTGCAGGCAGTACGAGGTTATAATATCAGATGGCTACATAAATAGCTTCCGTTTAGTTTTAAAATCTAGGTGTGATAAGCCCTAACAGTAGAGTCTGGTTTTGAACATTGATGCTAAGTTAATAAAGGTTAAAATGTATATTTAGTAGCATGGATTTAGTTATTAATTTTTTATGCTTGATGAAATATGAATAGATTTATTTTACTTTATTAGGAAACCTCCATGCAAAGAGACGATTGAAGGCTGATTCTGTATCAAATGTATTTTTTTTGTCTAAAAAAGAGGCACCTTCGGTCGCAAGCAGACGAACAAGAAAAGAAAACCGTGAAAGCAAAGTTCAAGATAATCATGAGGCATCCGAGATTATAGATACTGGTACATTAGAAATAGGAGGAGAAGTAATAATAAATGAGGAGGAGAATGAGGATGAGGAGGAAGAGGAGGAGGAGGAGGAGGAGGAGGTTACCTGGGACTATTAAAATTGATGTGGTAAGCACTATGTAACTACACAGATACACACTTTGAAATCCCGATGTCAGTTGAAATATTTGAGTTTGACAACAATTCTATACATTACTATACTAGGTTAGAGAACTACAATTCTTTCAATTTTGTACTATAAAGTTTGTGACCGGCAGCACAAATAACAGCTTAAGATATTACAAGTATGACATATATAATATGACAATATATATAACAGATATGTACAGGTTGTAACAGTCTCAGTTCCAAACCAGTTGTTCTTGACTTTAAAAAAATTAAGATTGAATACAGCAAATTTTGAGTTTAGTAGGATGTTCAGTGTATCTGAAGAAACAGTACGAAATATTTTCATCACTTTAATCAATTTCATGTATTTACAATGGCGAGAATTCGATATATGGAGTGAGAGATCTCTTGTAGACACATACATGCCTAGTGATTTCAAAATGAAATTTTTAAACACTAAAGTTATTGATTTTCTAGAAATCAAAATAAGCAAACCAAAATACCCTGTTTAACAGCAGGCTACATTGTCATCATATAAAAATTACAACACATTAAAAGCATATTATAATACGCTTTTGTCTAGTTTTGTATATATTTGTGAGGACTATGTTGCCATCTTTATAAAGAGGCCAATATAATTCTCACAAATATAAATTAAAATTAGTTGTAGGTTGCACACCAGGTGGTCTGATAAGTTTTCTTTCAGAAGTATACGATGGTTCTGCAAGTGATCGAAAGGTTTTCACAATGTAAAATAACAGAGGCAAAAGACTGTGTAATGGCTGATAGAGATTTTAACATTCAGGGCTTGCTAATTACTTATGACGTTGTAGTAAATACATCCACTTTTATGAGAGGAAAACACAGCTGAACAGCAGATAGAAAAATATGTAGTAAAAGAATACAAATTGAACGTATTATATGAATACAAACTTTTGAGGAATTCGACAGTAACCAAACATGGCATTGAATTTATATTTAGATGTTTTATGTTATGCAATTTTAGACCATGCATTGTTGGAAGAGATGCTTAATTTGTTTCACTATTAACACAGTATATAATATATATTTTTTTCCAGTTTAGACTCTAGTATAGATTAAGAATGTATTTTAGTATACACAGTAAGATCTTCAATGTGGAATTTCAATTTAAAGTAGTCTTAAAATTTGTACTAGAGTTGAATAAATGTTTGTAAATTTGTAAGCTAATAAAGTAATTATGATTTTTAAAACAAAATCTCTTTTTATTATTTAAAAAAATACACACTTTATACAACATTTAGAAAAATTTCAAATAATCAAACTCAAATTGTAAAATAAAAATAACAATTAGCTCAGTTGTTTTACAAACTTAACGTTTATAAAACAGTTTTTTTTAACACTTTGTTATCATTCACAAGCTAAAAATGGGTATTTTGGATGAAGAAACATACCATATTCTTTCACAGAAGTACAGTAATTACAAAAGAAGAATATGCCGCAGTTGTCTTTTTTTCATATCTTAATCCACTAGAAATTGCCTTACTTTTTATTGGCTTGCTTGAGAGTAACGAGGCACACAATTTCAGTGTGTCTGCTGATTTTATTTTACAAACTTTTCCAAATGAATCAAGTAGTTTGAGTGCAAAAGAGCTTTCACATGATATAGAAAAATTGAGTTTCCTGATTTCTCTCATATTCCAGTAACCTGAAAATTATTGTAAACAAGTTTAATGACTAGTTAACATATCATTACCAATATTTTAAAAAAATTTTTCTGTCTCATTGGCAGGGAATAAAAAAAAATTATTATTATATATTATATTCTTACCTTAATATATTATATATTATATAAAAACAAATATTATAAGGTAACGTATTTTACAAGGTATTTTAACGTGTTTTTACATTTATATACAAAGTATCAAGTTATAATGTTAACAATAGAATAATTTCATTAAAAAAACGCATTTTTTCAATGATAGCTAATAACCAGAATGCCCTTCTTTCCGTACGATTACTTTGAGAACTCTGTCCGTCGTCGATTAGATCGAGTTTTGAAGAAAACCCTGAGATATTTCCTCCCATTTCTCAATGATTGCAGCCTTTTGGTCTATGGTGTTATTATATTGCTTTCTATTTGCGTAGACTGACTTGATCATAAGTCCCCAGGCATTCTCTACAGGGTTCAAATTTCTGGTGACACGATTTACCGATCCACGACTCGATCCCCGTTGGCCAGAAACAATTCCCGGGTGATGTTGGCGATATGGATGGGAGCGTTATCTTGCTGAAACTGTCACTGATGATTCCCAGTCTTTCTCCAAAGAAAAGTAGAGGCATTTCTAGCTGTTGGATGGCTTTAGTATTCTGCTTTACTTTGGAAAAGGCATTACTGTATTTGTTTTCTATTGCTCTCCAAAGGCAGCCCAAAGTATCACGGAACTTCCATTCATTTGTCATTTGGAGGAGGTTTTTCATTCCTTTTTTAAATCGTGCCATTAGTATTGGCAATCATCGGGGCCATCTAAATCGAACTTTTTCTCATCTGATCACTCAACATTCCTCCACTCTTCCTTACAGGTTACGTGATTTTTGGCCAGTGTCAATCTAGCAGCCTTCTGCTTATCTGTAAGCTCTGGGCCGTGTTCAGTAACGCAGAATTCTTGCTAAGTCTAGTTATGCTGCGATGTTGAACTCGTTTCTAACTACTGCTTGACTCCTCCCACCACTAGCTTCTTTTATGTATTCTTAGCTCCGCCCGCTAAGCCACTCAGAATTCTAACTTATGTGTTCTGCGTTACTGAACACAGCCCTGGTATCTACTTTGGCGTATTTTAGATGATTGGCAACATGAACAACGTTCAAAACTGTCCCCAAACTTACTCCATATTCGAATTTTGCAACATATTTTTGAGAGGGCTTATTCGTTTCGTAATTTCCCTTAAAATTACTCGTTCTTGCGGTGATCTTCCGTGATTCTACTTAACTGTGTATTCTTCACCTAACTTCAAATAATTATTTATCACTCAAATTCATCTTCTTTAGAGTTTTAGCACTAGACCATGTTGACTTCATCGAAAACATTTATTTTGCCCTTTTCATACGCTGAAAATACGTTGTCCTTACCCATTTTCCCCTTTCCGAATTAACAATGTCTTGTTGTACAACTATGTGAAATTTCAGTATGACCTCTTTATTTCTTATTATAAGGAAACTGATGAGTTAATTTTTATTGAGTTTCTTTTACAGAAAAAGTCCAATAAAGTTTATTATTATTATTATTATTTTGTTTATAGGACGTCAATGTGTAACAGATATGTATTATAGATTTCGAAAACGAGCACCAATTGTTGACGGCACTCACGCAGATATAGATGAATATGATTTTGTGGTAAGAATGCTTGAAATAAGATTTTCGATAATTTAGAATATTATAAACACTTAAAATTATAAATTAATCTTGCCAATATTACTTTAAAGGCACGGATTTATTATAAAAAACAAGGAATGTGTGGAGCAACTGTAATTACCGATAGCCATTTATTGACAGCTGCTCATTGTCTGTACGGGTAAGTCGTATAAATGTTGGATTTATATATCGCCCACGAAATTTATACGGTAAATTTTCATTTATTTTCAATTATTTTCGTTTATAGTAACCGTACAGTGACAATATAATGCAGTAAATATTAAGTTTTCCTCTTTATAAAACACAAAATATAAATTATTATTAATATTTGCAGATAAATATACTGAGAATTCTGGGGATTTCCTAAACATTATCAATAAATATTCTTCAACAAATCAGACCATTTTCAACAGCTTTATTTCCACCCTCTTCTGTTAAAAATGGCTTTGAATTAAAAATTCTGCACAAAATATTTATTGACTATTGAACACAAGACTGTGTTATTAATTAAACACTTGGCGCTTTTCCTCTTTATTCAGTTGATACGGGTACTTTTACACGTTTCGGGCGCATAGCCCCTCAGTCAACTTGCATCCTTGCGATGTATGTAGTATCCATTTGTTGAACTGTATACGTTATTTTCCTTTTTCTGGATGTAATTCGCCGTTTCTATAACCAATAACTCGTAGTTGATTTGTTTTCTGAAACCGTGTTTTCGTATTTATTGACTATTGAACACAAGACTGTGTTACTTGTGTTCTGAGTTACTTGCTTGTTTTCTGAGTTACTGTGTTACTCAGAAAACAAAACAAAATATTTATGTTTTTTAAAGAGGATTCTTGAAAACAATTGTTTAAAAAAAACTTGAAATGAAACACTCCTTACCAGAAAAGCTAATTTAAATTGGTGAGACTGTTGAGCAAATTGCTTATAGCCAAAAACATCTATCATTAGTGCATTACTGATACTACTACTGATGAATTGTTGGCAACGTAGACACCATCGAAATTCTAGTTGAAACAAGTAAAATTAATTAAAATGACTTTGTGTTAGAATCTAGAACATACAGTAGTATACAAGTAATAATGATGCGGTTATTCGTCGTAAAAATCGTGTTATAAGAAACTTACGTTATATATAAAAAGCGGGTTGGCGTTCCAAACGACTTTCTAAATACAAATTTTATATATCATATAATAAAACTACAACGAGAACCAGATTAACTATACACGAACGTTCGATTTGTATCGCAAGTCACATTGTTTAAATTCAAAATTCCCCCCCCCGAAAGGAGTTGGGTAGATGACCGAAACGACTCCAATAATAACAGAAAAGTATGATAAAAAGGGGCAAAACACTACACTAATTTGAAGTAGAAAGAGTATATTTTAAATTAAATAAATTAAAAGTCAAGTTATTGAAATCAAGATAATAGTTTGTGTTAGATTTATTGAAAAGTTTCCCTAATTTAATCTAAGAAATGCATTTAAATAAATTAATATTTAATCGAATTAATAAATCAACCGTCCCATTACATTAATTTCAATTTTATTGTTTCGATAATAATTGAATAATTTGGAAAATATCAACTAATAAATTCGATCAAAAAAATTAAGTTTAAATTCTAAAATCGCAGTTCTTTAAATAAATACCATATATTTATTTTACTTATAGCATGGAAAACAAACTAAAAGAAATGTGTTTGCTAATAAATGCCTACGATACTTCAAAAAATGAAGGGGATCAAGAGGCTCGGAATATATGTAAGGTTCGACTGCATCCACGATATGATTGCAATACTTATGATAATGATATCGCAATCGTTAACTTCGAACCACCTCTTTCTTTGGGCAACAGATTAAGAGCAATAAGTTTACCACCACCAAACTTTTATTTTACTGAAGGACTTACTGTCATCGCTTTGGGATGGGGTAGAAAGACTCCCGGTGAGTTTCAATTTTTAATTAATCTTTTTCATTCTATTAACATTAACTAATTAATTGTATTATTTTTGTATTAGATGGCACGACTGTCGATATTTTACAGGAAGCAAGGCTCAGTATTANATATATTGTCTATATCATATATAATGGTTAAATAAATAATATAAAATCATTTATATTGTTTTAAATGAATTAAATCTTAACTTATCGTACAGCATATTTTAAATGCATACTGTATAGTAATTAATTCCAAAAATATTGAATTCTTATTGAGTAATGAAAAATAATTTAAACTAAATTATTTCTATTAAAACAGTTAATGTATTTGTCTTCTTCACTTTAAACGCTTATTAAAATCTGCAACAAAATGTTGGGAAGAGAAAGATTTTTACTTTACGTGCTTTTGATTATTTGCTATTGTTCTTATACAGAACAACACGTAAGTTTCGGAAAGTATTTAATAACATTAAATGGTATTTAAAAGTGAAATTTTATTTTAAAAAATGATAAAATAATTTAAATTTTGTTCAGCCCGAATTCTACCTAAAAGATAAAAGTAAGTATTTTTCTTACTACTAATATTTTGATATTTTTAATTAATTATGAGTTAAAGGAATAAATATAATGCCAAATTGCCGAAGCTTTATAAATATTGTTTTCTAGCTCAACCGAAAGATTATTAATGCGACTTTATCAATATTTAACAATAAAATTATATATATAAACTACTGTTATAATCATATCAAAGGGTTGTTTGCACAAAGCTTGTTTAAGAAATAAAAGAAGAGAGATGAAAAGGTTTAATGTATTAAGATATTTTTTGAAATTTTTAGGACCTATGTGTTATCCTGAGATGGAAGAAGTTATAAATCATAGGAAAGCTAGAATTGTTGGAGGTTTCACTGCCGAAGATAGATTTGACCAAATGAGATTTGTGGTAAGTAAGATAAAATGTCTGGCATGAATGAAGATATCTGCAGATAAATATTAATTAATTAAGAAATGAATTATTTTTTCAGGCCGAGATTCATACTCCTAAAAAACGATTGTGTCTAGCCACTGTGGTTACCGAAAAACATTTAATAACAGCCGCTCATTGTCTTTACCGGTACGTAATTATAACTGTTTTGCATGAATATATTTTAAAAAAAGTGATAACAATTGAATAAATTTGTTAGCGAATAAAGTTTAGTACTAGTGCTATAAACGAAACTAGTTTTGGTAAACTGGTTAGCAATGATGTCGGTATCGTTGTGTTCACTTGCTCTTTTTTGACTTTTGATTAGTATTAAAATATGCTTGGATTTAAGATGTAATACTAGAAAATTTCTTTGTAACATAATGTTCAACTAACTGATAATATCTAATAACCTATCTAAAGAAAGTAAAGAATTTTAAATTATATTTTAGTCTACCACATTTAAGCGATATCTTATTGATAATTGGGGATTTTGACATTTCAACAACTGATGAAGTCACCCACGAAGTTCGATCCATAAACGATCTCGTAATTCATCCGGAATTTGATGGCAGAAGAGCAAATAATGACATCGCACTTATTGGGATCGATCCACCTGTTCATCTAGGTAAAGATATAAAAGCCGCCGTTTTACCTCCTGTAAATGCACAGCTTCCTATTGGAACAATGTGCACCATCTGGGGGTGGCAATACTATCCTTGGACTGGATACAGTAAGTATATTTAGAAATTCTTATAGTAAGTAGGAAATGTATTGTATTTTATATTTGAGAGTTCTGTTCTAACGTGTTTTATGATATGATAGGAAACGACGCTAAGTATATTTTGCATCGGGTTGACATTCCACTTGTTTCCAAAGACCAATGTAGAAAATATTATTATTCCGTTAATAAGACCAAACTTTGTGTCGGAGGACGAAAAGGGATGGCGATGACAAAACTAAAATTTTAAATATTTTCGTTATATCGGAATGACTTTACAAATTTGCATTTAAGAAAAAAGAAGTATTCAGGAGTTATCTTAAGATGATTTTTTAATTAGTGTCTATATGGCAATTAAACTTTTGAAAGCTGTAAATTTAAAAGTAAATTTTACTTAAAAATCTGACTGGACTTAAGTTTTCTTATCATAACATACAACACAATAACAGGCAAAATAATAGTATTTTCCGAAAAACAAAACAATTTTCTGCTAAATCATCATCTCACTCAGACGTGTGAGTAAGTTAAATAGCATACGGACGATCTACCACACCCTGCTCTGTTACTTTTAACAAATTGCAGGTTATACTTGTTATTTAAGCTTCTTAAGTATTATACGCAAGAAATAAAAGTCACCCGCTAATCTTAAGATTTTCGGAGCTATAGTAAATATAAACGAGTGTAAAATATGCTGAAAGTCAAAAGCAAACATTCTTTTTTCGTTGTTTTTTTTACAGCAAGTTCTAGTAAGCAAGCATGACTTTTAACTAACACAATATATCAATACGTTAGCATAATTCAGTATATCTTTTAATTTGTACGTTCAGCATCAAACCTTCATTTACCCGTAAAAAAATTACACGAAATAACAGTATAAAAATGTAATAAAATTGAAAAAATAATTAAAATATTAGAACTTCGTCCCTGACTAAAGTGCAGCGAAGGCTTCGAGTGACTTGTCAAGCACTTGACAAGTCACTTGAATGTAATAGACACAATGTACTGGCAAATACTGAAAGTACAGTACATTAAATGTAAATTACTTATAGTAGAATGACTTTCAAGTTTAAAAAAAAAAATTATAATTATAATTGGTTATATTATATTAGTTATAATAAAACACAATACTTTGTCAATTAAACGTTTATATTTAATACCATAACTTGAAATATTATTCTAGTATCTTTAACAATTTAAAAGTCTTATTGTTTGTGTATGACAAGTCCTAAATGTTTAAGCAAGAAGGTGAACTTAACTCCTTCATTATTTTCTATTCTCCTGTTAAAAGAAAATTTGCTAAATCATTTTGAACATGACAAAAAAAACATTAATAATTTTAGTATTGTCATCCAATGAAATTTCAATATAATTTGAATATTTAAATAAAAACTTTATTAAGCTGCGTTGGCTTTCGGAAGAACTATTAATTATATTAAGTAACAGGTTCATTTATTCGAATTTTTAATTTATTTCAATTTAACATACGTTATCTTTTACGATAAGAATAAGAATAATGACTTGATAATTAAGTGTTTTATAATATATGCTTGTATTTTTTATTGATAATTATTGAATTTTATTGATATATATTTTAATGCTTTTTTACACGTGTCTAGTTCTGAGATTCGTACTTCTATATATATATATANAACACTGTTTATATTGTTTTAAATGAATTAAATCTTAACTTATCGTACAGCATATTTTAAATACATACTGCACAGTAATTAATTTAAAAAATATTGAATTCGTATTGAGTAATGAAAAATAACTTACACTAAATTATTTCTATTAAAACAGTTAATGTATCTGTCTTCTTCACTTTAATCGCATATTAAATACTGCAACAAAATGTTGGGAAGAGAAAGATTTTTACTTTACGTGCTTTTGATCATTTGCTATTGTTCTTATACAGAACAATACGTAAGTTTCGGAAAGTATTTAATAACATTTAAAAGGTATTTAAAAGTGTAATTTTATTTTAAAAAATGATAAAATAATTTGAATTTTTCCAGCCCGAACACTACCTAAAAGATAAAAGTAAGTATTTTTCTTACTACTAATATTTTGATATTTTTAATTAATTATGAGTTAAAGGAATAAATATAATGCCAAATTGCCGAAGCTTTATAAATATTGTTTTCTAGCTCAACCGAAAGATTATTAATGCGACTTTATCAATATTTAACAATAAAATTATATATATAAACTACTGTTATAATCATATCAAAGGGTTGTTTGCACAAAGCTTGTTTAAGAAATAAAAGAAGAGAGATGAAAAGGTTTAATGTATTAAGATATTTTTTGAAATTTTTAGGACCTATGTGTTATCCTGAGATGGAAGAAGTTATAAATCATAGGAAAGCTAGAATTGTTGGAGGTTTCACTGCCGAAGATAGATTTGACCAAATGAGATTTGTGGTAAGTAAGATAAAATGTCTGGCATGAATGAAGATATCTGCAGATAAATATTAATTAATTAAGAAATTAATTATTTTTTCAGGCCGAGATTCATACTCCTAAAAAACGATTGTGTCTAGCCACTGTGGTTACCGAAAAACATTTAATAACAGCCGCTCATTGTCTTTACGGGTATGTAATTATAACTGTTTTGCATTAATATATTTTTAAAAAAGTGATAACAATTGAATAAATTTGTTAGTGAATAAAGTTTAGTACTAGTGCTAGAAACGAAACTAGTTTTGGTAAACTGGTTAGCAATGATGTCGGTATCGTTGTGTTCACTTGCTCTTCTTTGACTTTTGATTAGTATTAAAATATGCTTGGATTTAAGATGTAATACTAGAAAATTCATCGTAACATAATTTCAGACTAATTGATCCTATCTAATAACCTATTAAAGATAATAAAAAATTTTAAATTATATTTTAGTGAACCAGATTTAAGCGATATCTTATTGATAATTGGGGATTTTGACATTTCATGGGTTGATGAAGTCACCCACGAAGTTCGAGGCATAAAGGATCTCGTAATTCATCCCGAATTTGATGCCAAAAGAGCAAATAATGACATCGCACTTATTGGGATCGATCCACCTGTTCGTCTAGGTAAAGATATAACAGCCGTCGTTTTACCTCCTGTAAATGCACAGCTTCCTATTGGAACAATGTGTACCGTCTGGGGGTGGCAAGATTATCCTTGGACTGGATACAGTAAGTATATTTAGAAATTCTTATAGTAAGTACGAAATGTATTGTATTTTATATTTGAGACCTCTGTTCTAACGTGTTTTATGATATAATAGGAAACGACGCGAAGTATATTTTGCATCGGGTTGACATTCCACTTGTTTCCAAAGACCAATGTAGAAAATATTATTCTTTCGTTAATAAGACCAAACTTTGTGTCGGAGGACGAAAAGGGATGGCTTCTTGTAAGGTTAGTCATAATTCTGTTAAAATGTTACACGAACTAACGATACTAATTGTAAATTCGAAATGCACTTATAATTATAAATAATAGCTAAAAAATTTTAAGCTACAACTACATATTTCTGGTAAAATTATATTTCAATTCTTACTTTTTGAAAATCAAATTTAGTAAAAATATACTGCTTCAGATTATTGTCGTACTCGTATCTTTCGTAAACGAGGTATTTATATTGTGAAGAGGAAATATTAACGAATATCATATAGATACGAAACAAAGTTTACTTAACCTTATTGAAGATTAAACAGACATTGTTTAGAATGGAAGTTGGTTATCGCACACATGCACAATATCGAGACTTAATGAAATCTGAGATCGATGTCTTACATCTTGCTCACACGAATCTGTCTGAAGACGTGCATAGCATTCACGTTTAAAGTCACTATGACTATGAACACCTGTGAAAAAAACAGGCAGTTGCATTCCTGAATTGATCCTAAGAATTAGAGAGCAATTTAAAGTCAAATCTTAATTGAAATCGTTGGACCGTTAACTTGATTACTGAAAAATAATACTGATTATCGGTTATCACTATCAGAAAAATTAGCAAATAAATAAACGACTAAAGCTAGAAACACTAAGACAAAATAAAAAGTTATAAAATGCGAATTCGAGTCATTAGAATACCCATACAAAAACCTCCCTCCAAAATTTTAGAAATTTTCAACAAAAGGAATAGCACATATTAAGCTTCAAAGTGAATATATAACTGTGCCCCTAGACACAAAAACACTCTTATATTCAATACTTTTCCTCTGTTAGATATAACAGGCTTGGTTTATTTATTACAGTAGAGCCTTGATTATCCGACCTAATTGGGGACTGGGGTTGGTCGGATAATTCAAAGGGCGGATAACCGAAAAGTATGAAAAAATCCATTATTAGTGTATATTATTATATCCCATGTAATTAGTATATTAGTATATCGCTATTAACCTACTTCGCGTTGAATTTTCGTCGATGTTAAGCCCAACAAAAATTTTTTAAATAATAATCGTCGCTATTGTATCGTAAAAAATTAGAAAATTAAGCCTCGTTTAAATACTGGCTCCTTTTCATGGTCGAGCCAATGTTGCCAGCTGAAACATGCAAAAATACTATTAAAGTAGCCAAGACATAGCCAAATATTGTAGCGCCACATCACTAGCGGACATTTGAAATTCGCCAACTAGGACGGTCGGTTAACCGAGGGGTCGGATAATCGAGGCTCTACTGTATACGCAGCAACGCGATACGCGGGCGATCTACCGATATAAGTAGTTCCTCCCGGAAGGTCTTTTATGAGAAACTGCCCCTATTAAAGTGTTACTAACGTTGAAAAAACCCGGAAAATTTCACGTGGCCAGCCCGTTGACGAGGTGTAAACCCATGACCAACTAGTGTTCAGTGGTTTTATTCGCTCGGCTCTAGTGAGCATAAGATATTAGCAACCAGAAAAGTAACTCTACGGTGTCTTGTTGTTTTAAAGAAACTTTTCAGCGCCAACTCTCTCTTGTTTGTACTTTTATTAGAATTTAATAGATTACGTTTCTCTTAATCTTCTGTTTCGTTTGATTTTCAATCAGTTTTACGTCGTTGCATTTAACATCAAAAATCATTCAAAATGATTGTCACAAAATCACAGATTGCACTTTCATGTTTTTAAAAGTACAGTCATTTGACTTAAATTTTTAAAATTAATTTATCAAGTTAGTGAACAATGTTTCAAACAGCTATTAAAGATTAATAGCATTGCATTGCATTTTTAGAACACGCTGCATAAGAAGACAATTTCAGATTCATGAATTTGAAAATAGTTATGTATGATGACGATTACTTTTCTACACTATCAAAAGTGAAATCGCAACGTTACAAAAGGAATTCGCGAAACCACATGCAAATTGCCAAACTGATAGATGTGACAGAGATATGTAAATGATTAAGTATACGTACTGTACGTTTCGAATCATATGTACAGTATTTAGCTATAGAATACAAGGGCCAGTACATTTTTTTAAAATTTAGTGGAGTACGTAGAAAACGTAAAAAATGCATCAGAGACAACAGCGAGCCGAATACCATCAGTTAACAGCAGCGGAACGACACCATGTCATGGAGCTGCGCGACCTCCGTTTATCGATGCACGCAATTGTTACGCGTATTGGGCACAACGTTAGTACCATCCGGCAAAGTGTGACACGATGGACGCAGGAACATCTGAGAACACGCCGAAAAGGGAACGATTCGCATCAGAGCGCACAGACCAGCAGATTCGCCGAATGGTTTGTCGGGATTCCTTCACCACGACACTCAACACGCACCCATCGCGGTCAACAGGTGCGTCTGTGTCAACTCAAACCATTCGCAACAGGTTGTACGACGTCATGATGCACGCATGGCAACCAGCAACGGGGCGCATTAATCGCTCGACACGGGGCTGCACGTCTGGCGTGGAGTCGTCGTCATCGCAACTGGACCATCGAATAGCATCGTGTATTGTCCACTCACGCACACGGCACGTGGACGTGAATACTGTTTAAAAATAGGACAACAGCTACAATATAATAGATCAGAAATACAAAATGGTGCGCGAGTATGGTTAAAAGTGAAAAGATAAAATTAGTCCAACAACTAGAATTTCGTTAGCTACATAAAATACTTTTAGAATAGCAAACGCTTTCCATTGTTAAACTTTAATTTTTATTTATTAAATTCTATTAAGGTCTATTTAAACATTATCGTGTTTTTATCTAGATCCGAATAAACTGAGGTTTCTAGCGTAGTATTACTATTTTTTCGCTAATATTATTATTATGTTGTTATCTGAAAATGATTTACTATAATTTACTTTTATACAAAAGGGTGATTCTGGAGGAAGTCTTCTTGTTTGGATTGAGAATTATTATGTCGCTTGCGGAATCGTTTCGGCTGGAATTGGATGTGGAAAAGAGGGTATACCAGGAATTTATGCTGATGTGTCTAGATACACTGGATGGATATATGGAATGACCCTGGATGCAGCCTGCAAACCAAGCATACATCTAAATGCGACTTATCCGCAGTAATTTATGACAAAAATGTTTCGATTAAACAGCAATTTATAAATGAAAATAAAAACTAATTGCCAAGAATGAAGGTGTCATGCAGAATTTTATGTAATACTGGTATATATACTCGTTATACCGATATTTTACGCTGTCGAAAATTGCATAAATAGAGTCTGTTAATAAAAAATCAACAATTTTTTAAAAACTTTTAACAATTAACAATGCTACTGTTTTCCGTTTTAGCTGTCAATCGAAACTGTTTAATGCTGAGAGGTAAGAATCTCGATTAATTCCATATTTTAAGCAAACAGTTGAAATGTACTGTACAAAATATTTGTATGACTAACAAGTAAGCCTGCTCTTGAGCAATACACACATTTAGAAGATTATTTACTTTATCTTAAATAAAATGAAGTTACTACGGTTTTTACTTAATTACATGTAACATTTTTAAGGTGCGGTTTGTCTTGCTGTGCTATGATTTCCTATTTGCTTGAATAGTGTTACCGTTTATAATTCATAGAAATAAATTAATAGCGAAATTAGGTTTTAATCACTAAAATTTTTTATCGCGAAAGTGAGACTGAATATTTACATTTATGAGAGCCTGAGTGCCAACCGGTGGTTCGTGAACCACTGATGGTATGCGACAAAATTCTGGCGATCCGTGGCGAAGTTTGAACATGGATCAACTTAAGGTTACGAAAGTGACGACAATTAGAAAGTGGAAGTGAGGAAAAATACCAATCGAAGTGGTTAATCTGAGACCAAAACTGATAAAAACTCTGATTCTAAGGACACAGGGAGCTTCTCTCTCTGATTTCTCGTTGTTATATTTTACTTGGTCGCCGTCTCCACTTTACTCTTGACACGTTTGCTAAAGTGACTTCAACTTCTCTGTGGACGTTTAACCACATTATTCCGGGATATTCGACAGGAACAAGTTTTTTTTTTTCATCACAACTTTCTCGCTCAAAGGAGGAACCGAAGATTTACAATCATACAGTGCTCTACATCCCGAGAATTATATCTGTAAGCTTTATTTCTACAATTAAATATAATACTGTGGGCCACGTATTTTACTATTTTTATATTTAAATAAATCGGGACGATATTTTTTAACTGTTGAGTCTGATTCGGTGTCTATCACACCCACATACGATTCGGCACTTTTCTTCCATTCAGACTTAAGCGTGACTCGGCGACCTCACAGTTTGGTTATGTATATATATCGGGCTTCGGAATGTTTATTATAGTCAATAAATAAATCAACATTAAATAATGTTGTGAGTATTACTGTCGTCCTTCGTGGAAAAGAGCCAAGAATCCATAAACTTAATTCAAAGAAGCAGCAACAAACTTCACACAGTGGTAAATTAGAAACTGCCAGCGCACTAACCGGCGCCATGAGGTTGAATCGCCACTGTATATGGAGATGCCACCGTCTATGTGTATATAGGCAAATTGCAACTTTGTGGTGCAATATATGCAAAACGGCTTAAATGTGCCACAAATGAGATAATGTAATCAGGTCAAAATATAGATTACCATAAAACCTGGACATCCAACTACCCCCTGATAACTTCTTAAGTCCTGAGCCCTTTTCTCCGCTCTGTAACAAATTTTTCACACTTATTCTCTGGGACTGAAAAAAATATCGACTTTTATAAAATATGGACACCCTACTCTTCCGCAATTTGATCTCCCTAACATTCAGTAATAAAAATAACTTAGATGAAAGGCTAAAATAACTAATTTTTGGCCGGGAAATGCCGAACATACCCGCTAGTTACTAATAAATACAAATAATAACGAACTCTAAAAAATATAAATTTTTAAAATATCCTTATAAATTTAAAATACTCTAAACTTAAAAGTGTAAATTAGTTGAAGAAGTAATGGCTTATACGGCAGAGAAAAAAAAACGCGATTTATTTGAATTAGCTTCATAATAAGGCTTACAGGCTCACCTGGAGGCCAAAATGATGGAATTGCTGAGAGAAAGAATAGTTATCACGAACTGAGAAAATTAGTGCCTCCTAAAACCTCTATTATCATACTTATATTTGATGATAAAGGTGGTGATATAAGTTTCTATTTGCTATTGTTCGAATGCCAGGTACGACGAATTGGTTTGGAGAAAGAGGATGGGGTGATACATTTTTAGGACTATTGCCATAGGTAATTACTCAGCTTATTTAATGGAAAAGTTAAAAAAATGCGAATAATTATAAGTAGTTGTTAAAGCGATATCAACTGAATTCTGAACAAATTAGATAGAAATGTCTGGACCACGTCAACGAGCCACGAAGCACATGGAAAGATTACACTTTTGAATGCCGAAATTATTTCGAAGAGTGGTTATCATGTCCAGATATTGAATTTGAATTCGATGCTTTGAAAAAACTTAAAATTGCGTATCAAACAAAGATGGCAATTCTAGCAGTGGTTCGAAAACACTTTATAGATGAAGGGCCGAAATTAATAGACTCTGATGAAATGGCTGAAAAGCTGGATATATAAGAAAACACGTGTTCTAGAATGAAGAGTTTCCTTTTAAAACTTTTGAAGTATATGACATAATCAAAAGGAAATCTGTATTTCGAAAATTACCTGTACGATCAACTGTCAAGCCAGAGAAATCATATCCAGATATTTAGAAACGATAAACCTGTGACGCTTGATGCAGAGAAATATTTCGGATATTAGTTCTAAATTCACACACTTTTTCGATAAGAAAAAAAGTTGATGCGTTTTTAGAAAACGGAAAACGCATGTTTTCAGATACACCGCTCACCTGGTAAGAGAGGTTCGTTTCGGCGTGGAAACTATTCCAATAGTTAAATGAAAAAAAAAAAATATGGAACGCTTCACGATTTTGCGTGTCATCCTTGCGCAGGGGCCATGCTAATCTTCTCTGTATCGTTCCAATTTTAGAATATGTACGACCGAAGTTGTACACCGTATACTAACGGGCCAATTCTATATATACCAACAACTTCAACTGTCGCGTCTTCACGGGTGTGCCTACGTTTATGGTCAGATAGAAGTTGATTGCCACCGCGCAGATTTATCTATCGCTGTTCATTGTAAATTAGAACGATTGCTTTTCGAGATTTCCTGAAATTTTCGCAGATAAATTATTACCCGACGATTAACAGTTGCACTTTACATCCTGCGATAGCTACAACGTTTGACCTGCCAAGACCAGTTGGATTTTGGCTTGCTCGTATTAAGCATACTTAAATTCGATCTTAATAATTATTTTATGCACTATACATACGTTCTTTGGAATCGCCAGCTACAATCATCGCTATTAAAATTTTATATTACGCTCTCGACAATTATACTTGATATTTTCAATATTTGTGTCACGTGGTATTTTAGTTGCACGTTGATGGGTTATTTATCGCAGCTGAGGCGTTCCTAATTCTACGATGCTTCAAAGAAAACAATTTCTTTCTTGCTTAATTGCTTTACTACGAATTTATACTTCTTTCACCTTTATATTGAATTCACGTTCGACACGCACATAATGAGTGTTCTGCTTACTGCAACAGAACACTAAAAATTCGCCGAATTGTGTTTAAGCTATTTCATTCATTTAATTACAGCAACTTTGATTAACTTGGAAGTGTCAAATGCTTGCTGTAATATTGTCATTTCTGACTTAACAAAAGCAAAAATATTCAGTTTCCACTGCAATATGAAATTAAAATGCTCAAACCATGAACGATGTTCAATGGAAAAAGTAGCAAAATGAAGCGGATAGCAGAGAGTGGTTTCGATCCACCGACCTCTGGGTTATGGGCCCAGCACGCTCCCACTGCGCCACTCTGCTTTTTTTTTTTAAATAACAAATAATTTTATTATCCAGACAATGTATCAATTATACAGAAATTATACCAAAATAGATGGTTATAGAATAGTTACATATTTACATAAAAAATATTCAATAGTTTACAAAATAATTACAGGTTTAGTTGTAGTGAACCATTACGTTTCATAATGAGTCCAGTCTTTATCCAGTTTTCTTTTTCGATATTCGTAAGGTTCTGCTTTTTGTACTCTAGTAGTTGTTTCTGGTTTTCCATTAGGTTTTTAAAAATGAAAAAGGTTATTTGTTCGTTTGTCCTTTTGTAATAGGATAAATTTCTGCTTGTCCAGATTGCGTTGATCGCGATGGTTAGGATTGTTAGTTGCTGTTTAGTCTCTGNAAAACCTAGACACCGTCGACCACGTAATCTATCATTGTTCAATTTACAATCAACATACACTTATTCTGAAATTAGAAATTTTTACACTTGGTTTCAAGTGGCCATATCCACTCGATAAGATTGTTCAGAAGCCACCGTTTGATGCTTTTTACAATTGTGTTAAAAAAATATGGAAGAAAAGACTATTTATAATTTCTAATTTCTAGTTTTACATTTTAGTTTTCACTAAAAGTCGAATACTAATTTTATGTTTATTTTGTATCGTGTATTTTGGTTTATGTATTCTTAGTGTTAAACATCCATAGGAGTGGTGCACTTATTCTAATAAAAAACAAGAGAAAGAAACCACCACACGGACTTTCTCCCATGACAAAAAATGTGTAGAACGTGAATCTGCTAGCGATAATTATTAGTCTATCATGTCACACGAGACAACAGCGTTCTTAATAGAAACCGCCAAATTGAAGCCAAATTCAAAACGCCACCACTCAACGAGATCAAAAAATAAAAATAAGAATATTACGTAAGACGAGATCTATTATCCCCCTACCCCTGAGTAAGAAATAGTAAGAAATTTTTTACCCCCACCCACCCCAAAATGCCTTACGTAATTTATGGACGGCTCCTTAGGTCCCTGCTAACAATTCTGTTGTTAATGAATTTTTGGCGAAAAATTCGACAAATACGGTTTCTCAAACTCCGTATTCACCCGATATGGCCTCGTGAGACTTTTTCCTGTTTCCTCGACTAAAATATCTACTTCGTGGTCACCGTTTTGAGTCGATTGATGCCATAAAACAAAATTATCTTTCGGTCCTGAAGGAGGTTTCGCGAAAACGACTTTTAAAGCATGTTTGGAGGATTGGAGAAAACGTTGTTGTGAATGCATTGCAGTGGGAGAATTACTTTGAAGGGGACGAAATAAATTCAAATTTTGCGTTTAATTAGACTATTCCCGATATATTTTAATCACGGAAGAATCACATGTCTTTGTTTTATTGCATTTAAAAAATTTAATATTTAAATTTCTCAAAAACTAAACTCACCATCTTAATACTGCTTACGTCAGTGAGGAACGTTATGTCGTCCGCATAAGCAGTGTATTTTATCTCGCTGTCAATATTGTTTTGAAGGCGGTATCCTTTGATGCTACCGTCAGCTGTAATATGGCGAAAAAGAGGTTCCATGCAAATAATAAAAAGAAGCATGGATAATGGGCAGCCCTGGTGTACAGTTTTGTATTTTGGTAAACAGAAAACTTACATTTGTCTGTAAGTTTTCTGTTTACCAAAATTTGGCTGGTGACGTTTTCGTAACATAAGTTTATCCATTTGAAACAGTTTTCTCCAATGTTAATGTGGTTTAGGACCGACCAAAGGTAATCGTGCCCGATGTTATCAAAGGTTTTGTGGAGGTCTATTTGTAGAAGACCGCATGTATCGTGACATTGACTGGCTAATTCGTAGATTATTGAGAGAGAAAAATGTTAGAGTGGATGGAACGACTTTTTATGCCACGGGTTTGGTGCTCGTCAATGATCGAGTGGACGCAGGTCTGCAGTCTGGTGGCTAGGACTTTAGTGAGGATTTTGTAATCAGTATTGAGCAGTGAGATGGATCTCCAGTTTGTGATTTTCGTTAACTCTTCCTTTTTGTTGGTTTTAGGAATAAGAGTGATTATTCCGTGATTGAAGCCATTTATCAGCTTTGTTGGTTTTTAGAGTTGTTGATCATGTTGACGTATCGTTACCCTATCAAGGGGAAAAACTGTTTATAAAATTCAGCAGGTAGCCCATCCGGTCCTGGTGATTTGTTATTTGGCATGCTATTTAGTGCTGCTTTGCATTCTTCATAA